CGACAATTTTTTTCACACGGATGACTAATTTCAGCTAACAATGATAAAAGTAGAAGAAGAAGAAGAAGAAGAAGAAGGAGGAGGAGGAGGTGAAGCAAATGGAAGATAATAAGAGAGAGAATAGGAAGAAGAAGAAGAAGGAGGTGAAGCAAATGGAAGATAATAAGAAAGAGAATAGGAAGTAGAAGAAGAAATAATAACACAATGATTACAGAGAACATTGGTAAATTAACTAAGTGAGTTAGTAACGTATATGAATCAAAGAGAAGAAAAAACCATGCAGCCTGTGTTCGGGGTTCCGGAATGCAAATGAATGAACCTGATCTGTTGATCGGAGTGAATATGATGTTTTCTGCAGAAAAAAAAAGATGTATGGAGGACGTGCGGCTGAAAAGTAATGTCCATACATGTATCGAAACGGAAGCAGATTATCTGGACAGCGCCTGAGTGTTTATGATAAAGTCCAAGGCTGAAGACCTACCTTATGTAAGCAATGTGTGTGTAGAGCAACTGTATGTACCGTGCGTCCCCCAAAAAACTATACACTTTTGAAATGGCTGCCGAATAAAAAAATATATGATTTTTTTTTTTGGGGGGGGGAATTTATATGTATGGAAAGCTCATAAACTCAACTGTCATATGACACCAAAACGTCCGAAAATAATTCATGCTTGGGTGAGCACTGCTCACTTTTGTAAAGGGTATGAAAATAGGGTGCGCAGGAATTAGACTTCCAATTTGTGAGGTAAATCCTTTGGAGCTTACACCATTGAGGGTGATATGATACATTCATGATTTGCTGAGTGAATTTCATGGTTTATTAAACCAAACTTGTATGCATGAGTGAACAGGAATCGCATTTTGTTTTTATTATAGCATTGTAACTTTCCCTGGTAGACTCAGTGCTGTGTTCATGCATAGACCTATAACCAAGTAACGAGAGAAACAAATTGAAAAGATCCCTGATAATGAAATCACAATGTAGGGGTACATACCAATGTCTAGACATTTTCGCTTTGAGGTTTCCCTTTATAGGTGCCCCTTTTCCCCCCAGAAAATGCCCTTTTTTGTTGGTGCCCCCCCCACTTTGAAAGACGCTCCACCGCCCCTGTATAATTATTCCTGCTTTGTTATGACGACCCCATCACAAACCATGACTCATGTGCTTTGAAAGAATTTTGCCTCCTACTTACGATGTAAATATATCATAGCATTATTATGTTCATTTTTATTTCGTGAGGGAAATAAAAATGTTCAATTAGAGTTTGGAATCTTGAAAGTCAACGGTTACGAATAGCCAACACCTTATTATTATTATTATCATTATTATTATTATTTTATTTGGAGGGGGATAATTCCCTTTTCAACAATGTTTAGCAGGCATTGCCATTATTGCATGCCACTAATTTTCTTATCATAATAATGAGAATGAAAATATCACCTACCTTCCTCTGAATTTGTGACGAGAGACGCGTTGGCGACTGTTTCACCAAGCTTTGTAGCGAGACGTACTGCATCACTGCAATCTCTTTCCTGCCCCTTCCGAATCACATACGAAAACTTTGTAGTCGACATTTATGTAAAGAAAGTATATGATCACAGATATCAAAGACCCTGTCGGAAGTGAAAAATGAAATAGATGAATATATATCGATGGAAAGCCTATAAGCTATATAATACAATAATATCACTTATATGATATTTCTGTATCTGTAAGAGGAGTAAACAGCTCTCTGACAACCCAAAACTTACAGCTTTGAAAAGTTGTCGGCCTAAAATCCAGCTATGGACTTGACGACAGGCGCGTACACAGGGGGGGGGGGGGGTTAAACCCCCCCTTTTGGTATTTTTTTGTGTGTAAACCCCCCATAACCCCCATAAACCCCCCCCCATAACCCCCCTAAACCTCCCCTCCCCCCTTTGGATTTTTTTTATTTATTTGTTTTTATTTATTTAAAAAAAAAAAAAAAAAAAAAAAAAATCCCATGGGTGACCTAAAAAAGCTGACCTTACCCCCCCCCCCCCCCCCCGCTTATTCAGCGGTCGGCTGAGTCGTTGCGATTTTTTCGGCCCGATTTATAAATGTTAAACCCCCCCCCCCCCCCCCCCCCCCTGAAAAAAATCCTGCGTACGCGCCTGCTTGACGACATCATTTTAGGTGGAGTGCGCATATTCATGATGATTTGAAACTGCTCGATCATCGTGGGCGCCTCTGCAGGAGAGAAAGGGTCAACATGTTCCGGAGCTGCGCTCGGGTACAATTAACTGATAAATAGCTTAATCATATGCCAACAAAAAGCTTGTAAACTATAGATTACAATAATATCACTTCATGATTTCAGGCTCGGGGCCGGGGTCGCGGTTTGGTACTATCATGTCTATCATTAACTGCGCACGTTTTTAGCCCTTGAAGTCTAATTTGCATAAAATCTCGCTTTTGAAACCACCAAATGAAATGATTAAAATGTCAAATTGAAGAAGTAGAGTTGCTTTAACTCATAAATACTGCAGTTAGTTGTCAAATCATGTTTTAATATGCAAAATCTGCTCGAAATAAAGCCTAATTTGAGGGGTTCTTTGATCTTTAAAAAATAGTGCAGTATTTTTCATATTTTTCATCCTTGCGCATGATCGATACTTTCGTACATTAATTAATTAAATTATATCAAAGCTCTTCTCCAAATATATTTTCATAACGTTATGCCCTCCCGATATTATTCTACGTTCATTCAACTTTCCATCGATATAAAGTTGTATTTTCGTAGGATTTCCAATCAAAGTAATTAGAATCTACTACTCTGCTATAACACATACGAGCACTCATATCAGGAAATCTTTATAGGCCTATGTGACCAGACGCGTACACAGGGGGGGAGGGTTAACCCCCCCCCCCCCCCTTTGGTTTTTTTGTGTGTAAACCCCCCCCCCTTAGTGATTTTTTGTTTGTTTATTTGTAATTATTTTAAAAAAAAATTAAAAAAAAAAATTATTCACATGGCTGACCAATGTCAAATTTTCAAATTTCGAGACCCCCCCCCAAAAAAAGTGTCCTCTTAACCCCCCCCCCCCCCACTTATTCAGCGGCTGGCTGAGTCGTTGCGAAATTTTCGGCCAGACTTATAAATGTTAAACCCCCCCCCCCCCCCCTTGTAAAAATCCTGCGTACGCGCCTGTATGTGACCATGTAAAGTGTCCCTGGTGTGACAAACTTTCAGTAGTTTTGAAGAGAAAAAAATGATATAAATGTATACTACACTCCCTTCCCGCCCCCCCCCCCCTCCCCCACTCCGGGATCGGAGGGACCGCATTCATGTTCCCAAAATGTCCGGTAAAGGAGTACTTTCACGCAACAAAGATCGACCGGCTCGTAATTAATACACACAAAAATCGGCCCGTATTGACTTTACACACTAGACTTAGGGGGTGTTTTCAAATGCCCGCGTCACACTGTCCCGAAGTTGACAGATGGACACACGAGGTGACACGACATTTGCTCCTGCGACAATTGCTCCGGGCTTTATTTCGTCTAAGATGTAGGGTTAGGGTTAGGGTTTCAATAGGGTTTTATGTTAGGTTTAGGGTTAGGTTTAGGGTAGGGTATAGTGTTGAATCCAGGGTTGAAGTTAGCCATTCGATTAGTGTATGAAATTTACAGCGGAGCAATTGTCGCCGGAGCAAATGTCATGGAATCACACACGATGAAGAAAATTTGAACTTCGCACGAAGATGGCCCCGAACTTGGTGAACAGCCAACCAACAGCCGAAGCAAGTACGATGCCTACAGAAGGTCACACGATGGCACCCGAACCACTCAAGAAGGCAACACGAAGATGTGAATTTGTAATAAGAAGTGTACCCGCAGGCCACACGAAGGCCACACAATAGCTACACACTGTTAAAACAAGTATTACAATTTTTAATCAAGTTGGTTAAAGTTTTAATCAACCACGGATTACCAGGTGAATCACACAATCGTTGGTTAAACTTTAACCAACAGGCTGTTGATTAAAATTTAACCTGTGGTTGATTAAAAAATTTAATCAATAAAAAATTATTGGTTAAAAAATCTGCTCAATGTTGGTTAAAAATGGTGGTGATTAAACTTTAACCATTTGTTGATTAAAACTTTAATCTTTTGCTGGTTATTTATGCTTTGTTCGGGGCTGATTCACATGATGTTGGTTAAACTTACATGGATCGTTGGTTAAAATTGTAACCATTGTAGGTTAATTCTTTTTTGATTTACACAATGTTGGTTAAACTTTAGTGGGTTGTTGGTTACAGTTTTTAACCACTGTTGGTTAAACTTACGGGGGTTTGGAGGTCTTATCCTCGTGTTTGCATTTAAGAAATTGTTTAATATGATTATCATCAATGCTAAGATAGTAAGGAAGAAGTGAAATAAGGTTCTTGCTCAAATTAAAAACACTTTGTGTCCCGGCCCGTAGGTTGTAGCTCAGCCAGTAAGTGTAACGGATGAGCTACCTAAATTGCATGCATAAAGACGTTTCACTTTATGATGACATCTTATTTTATATTTTAATTGTTTTAAACAATTAAGCCGGCTCTTCCAAAAAAAATTGTCGTATTATTATTCAGAATGGTATAATGAATATATGTATATATAGAGAGAGAGAGAGAAAACAAGGGGCTTTTATTAGAAGGGGAAAATTGCACTTATTACAAAAGGAAAGTGGCTCTCATAAGAGATGAGAAGGGGAAATTTTTAGAAGGGGAAAGATACACTTGTTACAAAGCTGCACTTGTTGAAGTAAAAGTGGGCACCTTTCAAATTCGAATAGAGGTTCTTATCATAGATTTTTATAAAATTGTATATTTTGAAATGGGACACTTGGAAGATACTAGACAAAAGTTGGGGCACTGTGCCCCCTTGCCCCCCCCCCCCCCCCCACCGGAAGCGCCGCCTCTGGTGACACGTTTATTCCAATATTTGTGTTATCAGCGTAGTTATTAGCAAAGACGATAGTATACAAAACAACTTGTAGAAATAAAAATGTGTTTTATTGAGATGAGTAAGATATAGCTTTTACACGTTTTTTTTACATGAGATCATCTAGATCTTCCAGTGCAGCATAATTATTTCAAAACAAGTATACAAGTACATAATTATAGGCAAAAAATCATTTTCGGTTGCTTTCCATTGTCCATTCACTACGAAATTGTCGGCCTCGCACTCCTTCTAATAACTCTTCTAAGGCTTCTTGAGACCAACAATGTCAGCTTTGGGGGTTGTCAGCCTTCTGGGATTTCCTCTTGGTTAAAACTCATCATTTAATTTTATTCTTCATTATCTGGTGAGACCATAGAGTATTTTCTACTTTTATCCTCCCAAGCCATAATAACAAAATATAGATTTCGTCTTCAAACCAAAATAATATTTGATATGCTATGAGCTCACCTTTCAGTCTCCTATTTGCTAGCCCCAGCCCCCCCCCCCCCCTCCCTGCGTTTGCAGGTATGATTTTCTTCTATGACTTCTTCAAAATATCAATTCTTCCTCGATCCCCAACTGCCAGAGGAAATGATTTTGCGATTCTTGACTAGGTGAGTGACCGATTCTGCCTATGTAGTACGTCAGACGGTCTGGAACGTAATAGTTTTACCACTCGAAGATTTTAGCTCATCAGCCTCGGCTAGTTTCTTCATGTTTGACTCAAAAAAGCGCCAGTATTCGTTGGGGGTGGTCGACTCCGTAAGATTTGTTGCTCCAACAGAGGCGTAAAATTTCCTGGTATCGAGGTGGTTAGTATCCACTGCAAAACTGAGCCTGCTGCTTCTTTGAGTCAAGCAATCCTGCATGAAGAAAAAGTAATGATACATTACTTTAGGCAGTGTCTGATTGGGGGAGGCTCAACGGGCCCAAACAATTATTTGCATGTCTGACGTACAGGACAAAAAAATGGTGGCCCGTTAATTATGGAATTGCTTTCAAAATTATGCCCCCTTTTAAAAAAGTCCCGGATCCGACCATATAGCCTTCAAAATCTAATATTGAAGAGTATTGAAGATTTTTTTGGGGGTGATGTTTCAAGGTTTATATGTAAAACTCGATTGCAGCTATTTTCGAAGAAGCAACACTTTATAATATTTTGAAAGTCTTCGTGATATATAAATCAACCTTGTCACCGAAACCAAAATTTTGTGATATCTCGGTATTTTTTGGGGGGTGATTTGAGAAAAAAGTAAATATTTAATAACATTAATAAATAAACGAGTAAATAAGAGAAAAATCGGTTTTTGACCAGCTGTCATCAGATGTGGGGGGGGGGGGGGGGGGTTAAAATGGGCAATGTGACAAACATCCAGTAGTCAAAATGTCCATCTCAAAATTTAAAAAAAAAAATTACAAATATTAGCCCCTATAGGCTTTGATATCGGGCGTTCTTTAAATTTCGACAGTTTTTTTTAACACGCTGCTTGGTGATATTAGGGACTTTTTGATTCTGCACGACGAGAACGTGGACTGCCCTTATAAAGCACTGGCAGTGACGTCACATTGCCTTAACAGGGGAGTCCACGTTCTCGTCGTGCAGAATCTAAAAGTCCCTATTGTTCTGCTGAGACCTGGTACCACTGACAGCGTGTCTAATATAAATCATGTTCGTATTACGTAATACGCCATTGTCATGTTCGCACATTTCAATAGGTGACGCACAATACTTTTGAAATTCCTTTGGTTGATTTTTCGAAAGTACTTGCTGTCGTGTTGTAAATGATTTCTTAATTACACTTCTTATTCTTAAATGTTAGGCATTAAGCTTTTTTTATTCGTTTCAGAGGTTTTTCACTCAAATCCAAAACTCTCGTATTTAATGCTTTCTTATTGGCACAAAAATGCGGGCTACTATCTCAACGTGTTTTGGAGCTAGGGAATACTATGCCTTTGTGTTTTGGCTAGGTCCGGCCCCCCCCCCCCCCCCCCACTCCGAGAACGGACGGACCCCATGCGTGTTGCCAAAATGTCCTTTTCGTAACAAAAGAAAAAGGTCGACCCGTATTGACTTTACACACCAGACTTTTGCTGAAAGGGAGGGGGGGGGGGGGGTGCTGAATAAGGCTCGTATACAAAAGAAAAAGGTCGAGCCGTATTGACTTTACACACCTGACTTTTGCTGAAAAGGGGGGGGGGGGGGTCGGTTGGAACACGCATATGCGTACCCTAAATAACACTGAGTGGGGGGCCGGGTGGCTAGGCCACATTTAAATTTGAAAGACATCCAAATATATTTGAAGCTCACTGCGCGGGATATAGCACTCAAAAATATGGATTGACAGTTTTGTATCATGAATTTTTCTCCTTTCAAGAGGGGGGGGGGGGGGGGGGAGTGAGCGTGTCAAGGTCACTTTATATATGGATTACCATCTTTTAGGATAGTTTTAAGTCTCATTAATGAAAATGGATTAATTGTCGTGCTTATTACACAATGTCTGGTCAAAACTTAAATGAAAGAAAGGGGCTTACCTTCGCTATTGCTTTCATAAGGGCTACTCCTAGACGGTTGCCTGTAAGAATGACATATCCAACCACAATTTGTTTTATTCAGGTTAATCTTTTTCACAGCTCTTCTCTTTCAGAATTTATTCCTTATCTTCCGTCTTCCTTTTTTTCTATGCCTTCTTCTCTTTCTTTTCTATCTCTCTTTGTTAATTTTGTCCTTCTCATTTTACATTCACATTCCCTTCATGTTTTGTTCTGTTATTTCATAATTCAAAGTGCATAATAATTAGGTCGAAAAATACATTCACTATCAAATTAACATTGTAAAATTGCGCTTCACATGAGGAGATGTTATCTCCATCTAGATCGTTGTTGATCACTCATTATTGTGAACCCATCGGATTTAGAGAAAACCTCCCCCCCCCCCCCCCCCCACCTCCATTTGCATTGTAGATTATCTCAACGCTATTGTTTCATGCAATATATTAATATTTTCTTTCCTTTATGTATACATTATGTAAAAATAGATAAGAAGGTGAAAAGCTTTGTTCATGCAGCACGTGTAATGCAAATATATATTTTATAATAGATGATTTTGTTATAGATAAGAAGGTGAAAAGCTTTGTTCATGCAGCACGTGTGGTCCAAATGCAAATAATGTAAGTGGGAATAATGCAAATATATATTTTATAATAGATGATTTTGTTATAGATAAGAAGGTGAAAAGCTTTGTTCATGCAGCACGTGTGGTCCAAATGCAAATAATGTAAGCGGGAATAATGCAAATATATATTTTATAATAGATGATTTTGTTATAGATAAGAAGGTGAAAAGCTTTGTTCATGCAGCACGTGTGGTTCAAATGCTAACAATGTAAGTGGGAATAATGCAAATATATATTTTATAATAGATGATTTTGTTTATCTGAACGAGGGATACGTTGCACATATTGAATATTGACGTGGCAGTATAAATTATTAACTGAAACTCTGTGCAAGGAAGAACAGCGGTGCAATCATAAATTCTTCAACAATATCAAAAAAAGGTAACTTTTCCACCCTATTCCTCGTATGCAGGGAGATTCGACAAAGTATATGATCATCCCCTTCCCTCGATGGTAGCTTTTGTAAGAAAGACCCATATCTCCTTCATACCTCTATGTTCCGCGTCCACAAAGAGCCCAGTGAGGTATGCTGTACGACCAGACAGAGGGCAGAACATGTCGCTCACACCTACAAAACCCACTGCCTTTTCTCCCGTGTTTGGCCCGTCTTCAGGTGGGCAATATATTGCCAGGTAGAATCTAAACAGTGGTTTTGGTCCGAATCCGTCTTCACGGAGCACTGTTGAGAAAAAAGAAAAAAGTGATTATCAGTATGAAATGCTTACAAACACAAAACAAATCGTAGATATTTTTCACTGTCTTACATATTTTTTTATTTTTTTAAAGTTAATGATGCATTAAATTTGTTTTTTTTGTAATTAACAGATATCCTTTCTGAAAACAGCAAGAGCTAGGACCTGTTTAAATTCATGAAAATATCAATTAGAAGTCTAAGATGATTTGTAATCGATTACAAGACGGGTCAGTTGCGGGGCCTATTTCACGATATTGCCGAAGTGAATTTCTCTTTATGGTTTTGGCGCTTTAAACAAACAGTGTAGATCTATGACTTCTAAAATAAGAATTAGATCTAGTCTATTACACGTTTTATCATTATATCAGGCACGTTACCACGCCCCCTAACCCCCACAGTTTAGAGAGAGATACACAGAGAACAGGGATGAAGACACAGAGAAAGAGAGAATGACAGGGAAAAAGAGGACACACAGACACACAGAAACAGAGAGAGAGAGAGAGAGAGAGAGAGAGAGAGAGAAAGAGAGAGAGAGAGAGAGAGAGAGAGAGAGAGAGAGAGAGAGAACCACACACACAACATATAATATATATTATGAAATAAATTACAAACGTACTGTCTTCTGTAGTGGTTGGACCCCCAAATGCTGCATCACCCGTGTGTACGCGGAGCTTCATTGCAAGCTCGAATAGAGCTTTACAATCCTCTATTTTCCCTCTCCGAATCGTGTACGAAGCCATGGATGATGTCGACGGTTTCGATCAGTATAGATCTAACTTTACAGGTGATCATTCACAGTTTAGGATTTGAGAAAGAAGGCAGTCTTTAGAACAAGCGCCTGATGTGTGATACGCGTTTAGTATACTATACGAAGACCGTAGCTGTAATGGCCTTTTGAACCCCACCGGAACCTTAACATCGGGTACAGTCCATGAACTTGACCTATAATTATGACATGTGTCATGTACGTACATATCGGATATAAGTACAGTCGTCGAGAATCTAGTATCTCCCTACACCTGCTGCATGCCGCCGAAGATGGCGTTTTCAACGTTACCAACCAAAACAAGGCACTTCCTCGAAGAAGAAAAAAGGAGCACTATATAGCTACAAAGGGAAGCCCCACAACGAATATATACCATTTTTTGACATTGGTATATATTGTCATGATGATATCAATATGTTTCTCTCTTTACATGGTCCAAGATACTGCTCAAGTCTCATATACTTTGCAGTTGGATGTGATGGTCTTAATATTAATTTGCAAGCGAGCTAACCAACCTTTTAAGATTCTTATAAAGAGGCTAAAAACAAAACCTGGTGACTTTTAAGCACAATCTAATAATGAAAGAATCAAAAGACAATTCATTAGTGACATAATGATACTACTAAAACTGCAAGCTTTAGCGAGCTTTAGGGGAAATAAAAGAAAAGGGGGTTATCAGTAGCTTTGAATGTTAGGTGCATGTTATGGTTAAAGAGGCACTTATCAGAAAGGACTAAGGACTTGTGAAGTTGTGAGAAAAGAAAATGTGCACGTGTAAGTAAGTAAAAAGGGCAATTGTCAAAAGGGAAAACGGGGCACTTTCCAGACCTCAAAACGGACACTCACCAAAGAAGAAAAAAAAAGGCAATTAAAAAGGGAAAAGGGGCACTTATCAAAATACAAACGTGTAGCTCTCAGATATGAAAAGGGGGCCATCATCAAAGGTGAATAGGATCCTAATTAGGGTGGTAAGGTGTGTTTCTCGAACCTAAAACAAGTGCATTAGTGAAAAAGGGCACTCATGAGAAAGGAAAAAGTGGCATTTATCATGAGAAGGGAAAGGGGCTCTTGTGAAAAATGGGGGGGGGGGGGGGCTTTTACCACATGGAAAATCGGCATTTGTCAAAATGAAATGAAAAGGTGAAAGGGTACTATATACAAAGGTAAAGCAAGAAATACTTGTAAAAGCAAAATGGGGCACTATTCCTATGTAAAAAGGTGCATTCATACCTGAAAAGTGCCACTTCCCCTCCCAAGAGTGCCGCCTCTGATAGCACATGTAATTTACATGTACTGTTAGAGAATATTGGGAGATTGCGGTGTTATAATTAAATTGGTCAGATTCTCGACTATATATCAGAGGCGGATGCCGGATTTTACAAGGGGGCGAAGTCTACGTGTGCGCCCCTCTCCCCTTCGATCAGCCACTGATTTATACATTTATGCACGCATCATGCATAGCTTGCATTGGGGGGGGGGGGGGGTTTGGGTGGGGTTTCCATCCCATCTTATACAATGACGACCCGTAACCCAGGGTAGCGATTGTCTCTCTCTCTCTCTCTCTCTTCTCTTTACCCCCGTTTCTTTCTTTTCTCCTTTTTGTTCCGTTTCTCTCATTTTCACTTTTCCCTATCGTTGGGCCACAAAAGGGGTTGGGCGCCCCCCCCCATCTGTATCCGCAACACGGTACTAGCTACTACATCAATTTATTTGGGATTACAGCTCAAACCCCGGGGAGGGTGGTTGCTCAGATTTTGTTTGGTCGGGGTGTGCCGCTGAAGCCTCGAAACCCCTACTCATTTTAAGGAACATTTTCTCGAAATAAGGCCCACTTTTCACAAATTTTGTAAATTTTGAAATTTTGAAAAAACAGACCCATTTTTAATGGTATTTTTGTCAAAAAATGGGACCCGACGTGTTTAGGGATTTTTTGTGAAAAAGTCACCCATTAGAGCGGCACACCCCACTCAGTCTTGATATGTGAGTACCCCCCCCCCCCTCCCCCCTCCCCCCTCCCTAACAGTGATGAATCTGAAAAGCTTGTTTCTAAGTAAAGATAATAACTCGTCGTAATCTTTATCAGGCATGCAGCCATTTTGCTTTGTAAAGATGAAAATCGCATTGATATTTCGATGTACAGCATGCATGTTGTTTGTATAATCGAGGTATCATAGTGGATGGAAATGTGGAGCTACAGTATAGGCCTTTATTTTATTTGTCAAGAAAACACAGTGGAGACCCAGGCGCGGATCCAGGATTTTCCAATAGGGGGGGGGGGGGGGCCGGAAATTTGAAAATTGCGCAGACCGTTTTTCAACTCAACATACCAATACTGACAAGGTTACATTAGAAGCACCATACCGGTAATTTTTTTGACATTTACATCGGGGGGGGGGGGGGCTGAAGCCTCTTGCCCGAAAAAGTAATTTTCTGGTTTCACGATTCGGCTAGTGAGCGAAGCGAGCGAGCAAAAATTTGAGGATAATAATTATATATTTTGTGAAAGTGTAATTTATCACAAAAATATACGAGAAAAGATATAACAAATTCATATTCGGGCAGCTCGCTGTCCCCCCCCCCCCCCCCATTACGCGCGAAGCACAACAGCTTTAATGTTTCATGAAATTATTAGAGAAAAAAGAGGATTCGTTGTACCATTCTCGACTCCTAATCCTTGTCTGAATTTAGTTTCCCTCCCCCCACCCCCCTCCCGCGCGAAGCGCGGAAGTTTTGACCTTTCATTAATTGATATTAGAGAAAGAAGACGATTTGTTGTACCATTCTCGACTCTTATTCCTTGTCTGAATTCAGTTTTCCCCCTCCCGCGCGAAGCGCTGAGGCATTGACCTTTCATAGTTTAATGAAATTATTAGAGAAAGAAGATAATTCGTTGTTCCATTCTCGACCCTCAATCCTTCTCTGAATTCAGATTCCCCCCTCCAGCGCAAAGCGCAGAAGCCTAACGTTTCATTAAATTATTAGAGAAAGAAGACGATTCGTTGTACCGTTCTTGATTCTTAATCATTGTCTGAATTCAGTTTCTATACCCCCTCCCGCGCGAAGCGCGGAAGCTTTGACGTTTCATTTAATCATTAAAGAAAGAATACCGTTCTCGACTCTTAATCCTTGTCTGAATTGAGTTCCCCCCTCTCCCGCGAAGCGCGGAAGCTTTGTTGTTTCATTAAATTATGAGAGAAAGAAGATGATTCGTTGTCCCATTCTCGATTCTTAATCCTTGTTTGAATTCAGTTTCCCCCCTCCGCGCGAAGCGCGAAAGCTTTGTTGTTTCATTAAATTATGAGAGAAAGAAGATGATACGTTGTCCCATTCTCGATTCTTAATCCTTGTTTGAATTCATTTCCCCCTTCCGCGCGAGGTGCGGAAGCTTTGACCTTTCATAGTTTAATGAAATTATTAGAGAAAGAAGATAATTCGTTGTTCCATTCCCGACTCTTAATCCTTGTCTGAATTCAGTTTTCCTCCTCCCGCGCGTAGCGCGTAAGCTTCTGACGTTTCATTAAATTATTTGAGAAAGAAGACGATTCGTTGTCCCATTCTCGATTCTTAATCCTTGTTTGAATTCATTTTCCCCCTTCCGCGCGAGGTGCGGAAGCTTTGACCTTTCATAGTTTAATGAAATTATTAGAGAAAGAAGATAATTCGTTGTTCCATTCCCGACTCTTAATCCTTCTCTGAATTCAGTTTCCCCCTCCAGTGCAAAGCGCAGAATTTAACGTTTCATTAAATTATTAGAGAAAGAAGATGATTTGTTGTACCGTTTTAGACTTGTCAAAAATGTTTCTTTGTCTGCTCCTTTTTTCGTCCTATGTCCTCTTACTGCCCCTACCACTCCTAGCTACGCATGCTTTAAAGGGAAAATGAAACAATCATGATGGTGATAGCATACAATTAGGTCAGTAGAAATGAAAGGGGGAAAAAAAATCTATTTATATATTTCCCAAGCCTTCTGGAATGACCCCAAATCTCCCGATTACAGTTTTTCCCTTATTCGTCGTTACTGTCACTTAGCGCCATTTCCTTGTCTTTCCCCCTTTCTCACCCGACTTTTCTCTTCCCCTTCCCACCCCCCCCCCACCCACTCAGTGTTATCTAGGGTACGCGCATGTATGTTCTCTCTCTTAGTTTGAAAGTACCCCTTTATCTTCGGTGTGTAAAGTCAGTGCCGGCCGGATATGTGTGTATTACGGGCCGGACTTTATTGCGTGAAAAGTAACCCTTTATCGGAAATTTTGGGAACACAAAATCGGTCCCTCCGACCCCGGAGTGGGAGTGAGGTGGGGGGGGGGGGGGGGGGTATATTCTCCTTTTTTTTCTTTCTCTCTCTCTCTCTCTTCTTTCTTTTCTCTTCTCTTTTCTTTTCTTTTCTCCTTTCTTTTCTCTTCTCCTTTTTTTTCTTCTCTTCTCCTTTCTTTTTTTTTCTTTTTTTTTTGCGCCCCCAATAGGGGGGGCCGCGGCCGTTTCGGCCCCCCCCCCCCTGGATCCGCCACTGGAGACCAACTCCATTTTAGCATGTGCGTGGAACATATTGATTGTTTGTTTGTCTTTTTGAGTTTTTTCAAGAAATTCACGCCTGCCTTTTTTATCGCAACTTGTTACTGCATCGATCCCTCTCTGGTTTCATCATTAAGTGGCAGATCCAGGAATTTTTTACCGGGGGGGGGGGGGGGCACAAAATGACATGGGGTGAAATCAGTAGCGTACGCAAAAAAATCGCAACGACTCAGCCAGCCGCTGAATAAGCGGGGGGGGGGGAGGGGGGGGGGGGGACGGAGGACACATTTATTTTTTTGGCAGGGGAGGACAAGTCATGCCCCCTGTGCCCCCCCCCCCATGGATCCGTCCCTGTTATTATACTATCCTGTCGTACATGTTTTATAAACCATTGTTATAAATTGCTGTTATGGAATAATCAGCAGTATTAATAGGCCTATTACAAAACAAATGCTTTAAGGGCTCTAATTGTCTTTTATTTTAGGCAAAACATTTAGTCTTAAACATTATATTATATATGATGTTTAGGCCTTACTATATACTAACCTAGTACTATATACGAGGGAGGTGTTGATTTGAGTGCCTAGTTAAAGCAAATAATATGTATGTGTGTGTGTGTGTGACTGTCGACTTTTTGTTTGGGGGGGGGGGGTAAGGATTTTTTTACACAATCCCACCCTATTAATTGGTAAAAGATTAGGTCAACATTCGTCACCGATAGATTCGGATAGATTTAATAAAATTTGAGAACAAGGCCATAGAATGATCGTGCATGCAGGGTTGGGGGATCTTGTTTCAGGCTTTTATTTTTGTCCTTCAAATTAAATGAATTTCGCTCTTTCTCTCGCCATTCATGAGACCCCCTCCACCACCCCACCACCCCACCTCACCCACCCCACTCCACCCCTCCCCCTCCCCCTCCTCCAGTATACAGGGGCGGATCTAGCTTTTTGCTAAGGGGGGGGGGTTTGACCAAAACAATGACGATGCAGAGCATCGTCCACGAGCCGCAAAGCGGCGAGCCGATTTTTTTTTGGGTGTTTATTTGAACCCCGTAAGTGATGTTTTCCTGGCATCTATTAACACAATGGAGACCATAAAAAGCAGTGCATGATAACGTCTTTTTAAATCAAGTAACAGTTTAATACACAGTTATATCCAGAGTTATCATGTGTTTGGTTAAGTTACCAGATGAGTTGAATATCTTCTCACAATATTTGCATTTGAAAGGGTTTCTCTCCAGCGTGCGTTCTTTTTTCTTTTTCTTTTTTTAGGGGGGGGGGGGGGCGCCCAAGGGGGGGGGGGGGGTTTTTAAACCCCCTAACCCCCCCCCCCCCCCCCCCCGTAGATCCGCGCCTGAGTACCCCCAGAAATCGCCTGCAAAAATAGATATGCGGAACCGTACGTCCGTATCATGATCACAGACCTATAGTAATCCGTAGTTGCATTCTGGGCGGCGCGCGCGGCCGAGAATTAGACTCTGAAACGAGTTCTCCGACGTCCGACAGGAGCTGCTGAATATTTGGAGCAAAGTTTTGAATCTTCAGAGGTAAGGAACTCTTACTACCGTAATATCTGACCAGCATTTAAATAAAAAGTACCGAAGTATAATTTGACGAAATGAGATTTTAAAGTTAAGCCGAGATGGGAGGATATAAGTTATGAAAGGCACGGGCTATTTTGGGTGATCAACGGTAGATTCTCATCCGTCGACCCCGGAGTTCTGGCTGAAATGAACTGCACCGTTCATCTGTTTTATTTACCCATGGCCATACCTGGGCCTATTGACGAAATTCAAAGAAATAAAATAATAATGATAGTGTGACTGAAGTGGGTGGGCGTGGCCCCTCAAATCTGATGTTGATAAGTATAGATAAATGTAGATTTAGCTTGTTTTGGAATTTTCTAAACTGATGTTCAGTGATGTAGCCCTAACATAGGAGCATCACTAGACTATCCTGGCTGTGTACTAAAAGCTATGCTTTTGATTCTCAACATTTCAAACACCACTATACAAAACTTAGATCTAACTGATTTCACTAAAAATCGGTACTTTAGTGACAATTGATGACACCTAAATAGCAGTAAAATATATTTTTTCCAACTTACAGATGTTAAAAAGAATAATTAAAAAATTCAAATTGTAGATCTAAGTCTACTGTCAAACTTTGCTAACAGCCGCATCGGCATGCAGTCTAGCAATATTGTGTGGTGTGTGTATTTGTGTATGGGTCTAAAAATACCTGCCTCACAGCAAGCATGCAGTGCTAGAGGTCAATACACATTAGCATTGACTCTCTATGCTTTGCTGGAGTGATGTAGCCTAGGTCTAGTAGGTCTAGATCTAGTACTAGACAGAAATAACCATCTGATTTGGGTCATTTCTTTAATAAAACTGACATTTGTTGACATTCCCCAATACAGATGGTAACCCAGAGATCTCGTACCGTGGGGGTAGCTAGAGCCAACAATGTATACATCTTTTCGTTCAAAACATTTTCTCCCCGATTTTCTTTATTTAGATCTAATTTTCTGATTTCTAAATCAGATGTAAATTAGGTCGGTATGTCATTTGTCCTAATTGCAGTTATCAAAATTTGATAACTTAATATTAAATGTATAATTTACGGACTTACTTATATGAATTATCCAATCTGTATCTCAGAACTGTGAAACAGTACGTTCATGCACTCGAACATAGGGCTATATGACCGGGCGGCCAAAAATATTTCCGGGTCAACCTACCAAAACATGGCCTAATGGCCAATCAGAGCACTCGTTTCGTGGGAGTTTGTTGGTCAAGCCGGGCTGACTCGTACGTAGCTACGGTAGCTATTGGACGTTCGAAAAGAAAAAATGAATATTCATCAACTAAAACCAAGACGGATAATGTTGACGACGAGACTTTCTCGGATTAATCATTAATTTAGGATCTAAATGAGCAAGCTATCGTAAGTCAAATAAGCTATATATATGTTATTTTTAATTTTTATTATAATTGCAGCAGTTATGAGGATGTAAAGAGTGAAAATCTCGTTGCATATCTCATTCATCGCGGTCCGGTCGAACCGAACTATTTGTTCCGTACAGTCCCATACAGTCCCGATAGGCCATACTTCAGTCTCTATAATCGGAGGTCTAGTGGAGCCAGACATAGTCTCAGTGGAACAACCGACGACTAGAGAGACTGCAGTTTTCGGTCTAATCTAGTACATGTCATAGATAAGTTGGAATGAGAAAAGTCGAGAAAACCAGTTTGTATGACAGAATAAAGCATGTCCGGTGGCAGTGGGGAAGTACACACATGCTAGTTGCACTAGTAATGAAATAAATTGAGGCAAGAAATGTAAAGTTTGTATGAAATTTTAGTCCACTTAAAGATGTCAACACACTGGTCACTGATCATACCTGGCCACTTACTGACAAATTTGATTGGATTGATGATCCGTAGCCTACATGTACATCTCGTGGGTCTGATCTTGGTGTAAGTGTAACATCATTGTGTCCAATTTGTAAGTCTGTCCTAACACTTTTGTATTTGGTGCATTTGTATGATGGTGGAAAACCTTTTTTCTTTTCAGTCATAGAGAGGCTCTGGACTCTAGCATAATCGCAAATAGGAGAATTTGATACATGATGTCGGAGAACATTTTAGAATGGCGTCGCAGATGGACCCCTGATCTAATGGCAGCTCCATGGCTACCATTCACCATTGAGGGCAGCAGTCTTCTCGTTAAGAGCTTGTTCACCCAGACATCATTCACGGTCCTGGTGTATGACTATACAACTATGTGGATCGAATTGGGTGATAAAAAGGCTGTCCTCGAAACTGCAAAGGTAAAATCTTATAATAAGATGTGTTAGTTTGTGTCATTTGGGTTTTTTGTTTTTAGTGATGCCAAGCTGATCTGTAAGCACTTGCAAAGTAATGGCTGAAGCAAGAAATAGCTAAACATGGGATCAATTGATCCCTTTAGATCCCATGCACTAAAATTTTAGAATAATCATTCTAGTCCATGGCCATGTGCCTCATTTCCGTGTTTACATGGACTAACAAGTCTGTCGACACATACTGAAGAAGGCAGCAATCATACAATTAGCCACCCCTTGAATGAAAAAGCTCTAGGTGTTGTAACCACTCTGCTACCTTTAAACTGACAGTATTGTGTACATAAAGGCAAGGTTCTTGCCAGGACATAACACTGCTAGTTATCGTACCAAGTATGGGGTACTTGAGAAATGTATGAAAAGTTTTGTATTCCAGTTAAAGATTTGATGTTTTTTTGAAATATCTGAGGAGTGCTGCAATGCCGGTTCACTGAAATCGCCGGTCAGTTGTTAAAGTTTATTATTGAGAACTCTCCATGTACACACAAACAAATATATATATGCCCAGTTTATTGTACCGTATTTCTCTCTGTAATTTGATGTTTAATAGGTATGTAATCCTAGTGTGGAGGCTCCTCTGGGTGAACTCTTGCAGCATCTCAATGATCTCCTTCAAGGAGTTCAGCAATCAGCAAAGTATTCCTTGAAGTACAAGGAAGATGATGGAATGAGGGAACATTTGAAGATCCATCTGACGTCTAAGTTACCCCAAGGAGTGCCTTTTAAATGGACGCTTTCTCTCTCAAAGGCTACTGATGAAATGGTATGAATAAATGTTTAGATTTATCAACAGATAGGTTTAACATATCGTGACTTACTGCCACAAAACCCCAGACAGAATAATAGTTTGCAATATTGTAAAAAATGTTGTAATGATTGGGAAATCTTTATTTTATATATGTTTGAGTCTTTGACCCTCTGACAAACTTTCAGATTAGATTCTTCTTTTTGTTACTAACTTTTAAATCGTGTCCTGATAATTGCTTGTAGTTGAGGGAGCATGTATGTCCATTGTGGCAAACCACCAGCTCACTAGAGTTTGTGTTTCACTACACTTTTTAATTGTTTCTAATTTATGCCCAATTTTCTTCCAAAAAGCTTTTCTAAACAAATTCTGAACATGTAGACACATTGCATGTATATCTAGGCAATGAAAGGGAGTGAGATATGATGTGATGACTTTCATAATTTTACATTTTAATAGATACAGCATGATCATGGTGTTAAATTAATTCCATGTTTGTTTTATTTGTCCAGGCTGCTTCACATCTCACCAATCCACTTCTCATATTGGTTTCAGAGCTGATGAGAAGAGAGAAAGAGTTGTACAGACTCATGAAGAAAAAGGATGATGAGATTGAAGACTACCAGATGGCAGGAGCAAAGGTCTCAAGAAGTAAGTACAGATTATAAAAGTCTATATAACAAGTACCTGGGCATGACTGTGATTGCAGAAAATTGTGTCTCTGGTCGATCATAATGTATTGTTTTTTAGGCAATCAGTAATTGTATTAAGATATGTTGTATCTGTAAATCTGTTCTTATTTTGATGAATCTTGGACTGAATTGGTGGTGTCCCTCCCCTTTTAAATAGTCATACCATTATTATTATTGCCCTGATTCCCAAGGATCAAGGACCTTTGTCATTTTCAAACATCACCCTTTTCTGGTAATACTTGACTCACCTCTGTATTGTATTCCGTCTCTTGTTATATTGCCAGGCATTGTAAATATTATGTTAAGCATTCAAAGTAGACATCCAATTATGGTTTAATTGTATGTGAATCTTACATATCAAGCTTTAAAAATATAAGGATTCAAGCAAAATAGTTATTTATTGTGTTCAAAGAGGGGTAACACTAGGGCACAACAATAGCCACATTCGTCTCCAAAATATTATTCATGGATGGAAAAGTCATTTTATGAGGTGTCTCTCCTTGTTGGTATTCTTCCTGTCCATAACATTTTAGATATTAATTTAAAATAAGTCTTAAAGAATGGATCAGAAAAATATGTCAAGAATATTGACAATGCTGATTCTCCTCATAATCTAATCCAAGAAGGCTGAAAGGAATGTAACTGGAGTGTTTGCAAGGTTAGATACATGCATGTCATTACTTAGTGGAAGTTAAAATTCATAGGGTTATTAATTGGTAACAGGTCCTTATGACATCACCAAATATGTCGAGAGAACTGATAACAATTTCATTTTGTTTTCTTTATTGGCATTGTTTAGAGAGCAAGCTAACACCAGTATTTGATGGGACATCGTTTAACCAGGATATGATCAATTCAAAGGTGAGTGATTAAGTTCTTTCTATATGTGTAGAGGGACAATGCTAAAGATCATTACATTATAATGAACTTCATCTGTTAACAACCATAATTATCATATGAAATGATGTACTGATCCATCCATGGTGTGTACATGGATTAGAAGGTGGCATTTATGCATTATCACAACCAGGGAAGGGAATAAAATAGAGGATTATAAGTCTGGTGGTATCATAAATCACTGAGTGATCTTTGATATGTCTGATTGTCATCTACTATAGCTAGCTAGCTATCAAAGACTTCCCTTTCCTTTAACATATTCCCTTCACAATTAATGTTAATAGTGCTGCCAACAGGGTTACCATAAACAGTAACATGTCCATTTCATTCACCTGTTGTGAGTCAGTGTGTCACTTGCATATTATCTGAGTTCTATGTATGACAACCAGGTTCTAAAACAAGCATTTAGCAAATGTCAAAATGAATCTAAAGGATTATATTTTCCTTAGCACAATTGGCCATTTCGGTAATGTATTTAAATTTAATACGCTTTTTTTAAGTGCCACTACCAATTTTGCATTCACCTATTACAAAAAATTGTAATTACTAGTCAGAATGCATAATGCAGACATAACGTGTTGTTTGTTCTAAGGTAGGACAAGTCATGTTATTTTTCCATCTACATGTAGCAACAACTAATGTATACGATTTGCATTCTGACCATTGAGATACAGTAATATATAACAAGGGAATGTAAAAGCTCATTGCTATTTGCTAGGTTTGTGTATAGATTTAAAAACCTTTAAAAAATAGTTTATTGCTTACCTCAGTTCTACATGTAGATATGATTACTTATTGCCTTAACCCTTTTTGCTTCATGGACGGCAAATTATGCCAAAAGAATTGACTGTTGAGCAGTGTGTTTGGACTTAGAAGGTCTAAATACTTCTTTCAGAAACAGAAAGTTACCTCTATCATGAAGTTTATATCCATGGAGGATATTTTTAGCCCAATCTATAAGTGAAATGAAGCCTTTTAATACAAAGATTCTTGTTTTAATGGTTCATTTGTGACAATTTTCTCAACATGGTGGCCCAGAAGGGATTGATGCTCAAACTTTCATTGCAAACTATTGCAAACACAATTGTAAACTGTGCTATAATAATATATACAATATCTATATTGCTGCTGATGCAGGCATTTAGGACCGAGAATGAAAGCAGTGGTGAGAGAGCATTCAGTGGTCAAGGGCAAGGACTCTACAAAGAAGTGATGGTCACTAGAGCATGGTTGAAACGACCTTCAGACACAGGTAGGTCACATTAATCACAGAAGAATGTTGACAATGGATTTCATCCTACTTTCTGTTCATGCAATAGAATAGGTAGTAGTAGTAGTAGTAGTAGTAGTAGTAGTAGTAGTAGTTGTTGTAGTGGAGAGATGAAATACTTTGTAGTATGCTATACAATCAGCATGGATTAGAAATTAAAATAAATTATAATCAAGGAAACCTCACCCCAAGGTGGTAACGTGGCGGTGCGATGGTGATGGCGTTGACACTGATAGTGGTCTTGGTGGAGATTGAAGAGTGAGTGGTGGTTGAGGTCGTGTCTGAGGTTTTTTTGCTGATGATGCTGGTGATAGTGAAGGAGGAGGAGTAAGAAGTGATGGTCATAGTGGTTTTAATGATGATAATTATAGTAGTACTGTAATTTTTTACCAGTATTTTACCATCAAAATCAAAGAGAATGTCACATTTGTGCAATATTTGTTATGCAATTGTTTGTGTGTAGAAAGAAAGAAACAAAACCCAATGTGTTCTGTGTCTTGCAGACGAAGTTAGTGACAACGATGACATGCCTCATGATGCTGACCCTTCCATAGGAGATGCTGGTCCAACGCGGACAACCCGTCTACCAGGTTCTTTGGTTGGTGATGTATTCTCAGATACCTTGTCACCTGTTAAGTCATCTCCTTCAAAGTCTCCTATGAAGCAATCTCCTGGACCATCTGCACAGGTAATTATTCTTGGATTCTCTGTCTTTAAAGGCTGGGTCAAATGATGGTATGGGGTCAATGTACTGTTTGTGCCCACAAAAGGCCAACCTATTCAAAGTAAGATGAGGAATATAGTAAGATGTTTACAGGGAATTATATGGAAGTAAATCCAAACGTAAAATCGCTTATTTCTTAGCATTTTGTTGATTTATTTGTAGGGATTTACTTAAACCTTCCATGTACACTGATCAGGGGTTCTGCGTTTCATGAAAAAACCTAGAAAGTCGTGGAAAATGAATCATTCTGGAAATTCATTGAAAGTCACGGAAAAGGAGAAAAAATCTCTCAAAGTCATGGAAATTGTGAGGGAGGCAGAGGCCATCACAAATGTAACATAATATATGACTGCTTGGATGCCGCAACCCATACCAAAATGGTTGCTATTTGGTCATGAAAAAAGGCAAGAATGGGTCATGGAAAATCTTGGAATTCGGTTCTGCCATTTCTTTAGGAACCCTGACTGATGAAAGCTATCATTAGTTATTAAAACAATAATGAATGGTAACAGTCATTCTGGGTCAAATTTTAGAAATTATGTAATATTGTATAATTGTAAGATAAATGATTTATATGTACTAGAATTAAAGTATATTTGACAAACTCATATATGTTCATTTTGTTTCTGTCACTGTAACTTTGGTGTTCATCTTTTTAGGACAATGAACTGAATAGGAGAGAGGCATTGGAGAAGAGACTGGCAGAGGAAAAAGCGAAATTACAGACAAAGAAAAAGAAGAAGAAGCTTTTTTAATCATGATAACTTTTCAAGAAATATTAGCTTCCCATGCTTGTATGTAGATATTTAGCGGGACATAACCCAATATTGGAAGGTTTGCCTGAAACAATCGCTCAAGTACTGTTTCATGGTCATTGTATGAGTTAGCGACTCCACCTTCTATAATCATCACTATTTTGAAGAAACGTGTCTTTCAATCATCTATTTTGAAGAAACATGTCCTTCAATCATTTCTGATACTGTCTCTAGCAGTCCAAATCTCTGGATGTATACACGTGCATGTATTTCATGGTTTCATTGTACATGTATGCATATTGAAGATTATCTAGCAGAATTCTGAGAAATATTATATAAATCATAGGAAAATTGCAGGAAATAACTATCACAGATTACAATTACACCTGAAATAGTTCTTTGATCTGAAAAACTCTTGAACACTTAACAGGAAGACATTGCATCTCAGCCAAGCATTCAAAATCCCTGAGTATGATTCTAAAATTGAAGTTTGGCAAAAAAATTGAACTCAAATACTACAACATAAATTATTTATATATATCAGGTATATTTACAGAAAAGAAGTGATACCGACTCTAAGAGCATCTTTGACAAAAATACTTGTTCAATATTTGTTGTCCTGTCAAGTACTATTAACATTTGACTTGTGTTTAATATGGAAATGTTTTTGCTCACAGAGTATAATAATATTGTCTGCCATGGGTTGTTTATCCAAATGAACATGTATGACATGTGATTTGAGTTTCGGCAGCACTTCATAGAAGACATATTTCAAATCTTTAAAACATTGTTAGAATAGAATGTGCCTGCAGAGGAGTAAATGGATATAGATCATATCAGATAAAAAATACTTTACACCAGGAAACAAGTCGTACCATTATGTGTTCAGCTTTTGATAGAAATGCTTGCCAGTAGGGATAGAAATAATACATGAAATAGAATAAACATGTGCATATATTTTTTGTAATCGATTTATAATGCGGCTAAAAATGTTGTCCTTTTCATATAAAAATGTATTTGAACTGTCTTCACTTTTCAGAAAGAGAAAAATAATTCCTTGAATGGTAGAATTTTCAATCATGAAAAAGATTTCAGTTGATCAAAACATGTTATGTGAGCCGTTTCAAGTTGAATGTTTTTTACAAAAAAAATTGTGAAATGGTGATCAATGAATTAAAATGTACATTTTCCAAACTTATTGTTTGTCAAATGTTTTTTATCAGGGGTTTTCATTTTTCTTTTATAGTAAATTACATAATTTTTTTTAAGAGGTACAGATTTTGAAGATGTTTTATTTAGTTTATATGCATCACATTACAAAAGGCTGATGCTATATTTATGTTAAAGTGAAGGGGAAAAGGTATTGAGAGGGAGAGGGAGAATACAGAGTGAGTCAAAAAAAAGTTTACACCTAGAAAATTGCTAATTATTTTAAAAATCATCTATGAACAGTAAATTATTAATCATCTTATGAAAGAGTGTTTTATCCCAAATCATTTGGTATCATTTTTGTGTGGTATGTGTTCATGATTGGATGAACACGAGGCATTGTTTGCGAGAGTGCAAACATCGACTTGCGCCAAAGTTGCTTATGTGATGTTTAAATAAAACAATTAGGATTTGGGTATTTAATCGGTTTTTGCAGGTCCAAATAACATCCCTTACAAAATTAATCATGCCACACATATCAAATATCAAATAGCAACGAACATGTGTGCGCGTGTGTGTGTGGGTTTAAGTGTGAGACTTTGCTTCTACAAAAAGCATATGCAATGCATTTCATTTGATACATTCAATTCATTCTCTCACTCCGCTAATCCCAACATAATACATGCTGTAGGCATCACTTTGGCGCAAGTCGATTTTTGCACTCTCGCAAACAATGCCTCCTGTTCATCCAAGCCTGAACACATACCACACAAAAATGATACCAAATGATTCGGGATAAAACACTCTTTCATAAGATGTATAATAATTTACTGTTCATAGATGATTTTTAAAATAATTAGCAATTTTCTGAGTGTAAACTTTTTTTGACTCACACGGTATTTATTATTACATATATATACCGGTATATCCACCCCTATGGAGAGAGAGAGAGAGAGAGAGAGAGAGAGAGAGAGAAAGGGAGGGAGAGAGAGAGAAGTAACTTAATTTGTAAGAGTCTTGGTCTTATTTTAATGACTTGCTTGCTTTCTCTTGTTACACACTTGATACCTGATGAAGTAATCTCTTTAGCTCGCTCAGGAAGCTATACTGGGATGGTATGTGAGGGGGTAGCTGCAACAATGGCGGATCCAGGGGGGCCCGGGGGGCCCAGGCCCATCCCCCCCCCCCTTGAGAAAAAAAAATCATGTAAAATCACGTGATTTTTACCTTGCGCTCAAGGGGGGGGGGTGCAAATTTTAAAATTTTCGAGGACCAAAAAAAAAAATGTGCTCACTACCCCCCTCCCAAATTTCGTAAAAACGAACTGCTCCTTTTAGAAATATCTTTTTGCTCGTTTTCGAAGCTATCAGATGTCCCTTCTCTAGAAAAAATAAAAAGCGTGCCCATTTTACACCAATACGTTTGCCCATTAAACTACCATGAAATATTCTATTTAATTGCTAAAAATAATATTAACCTGTCATTCATTTAAAAAAGACTTGGACATAATTTCCATTTGTGCTATGACAATATCTTGCTATCACCCCAGATCTCCCCAGAAACAATAGATTTTTCACATTTCTCTATTAAGTGCCTCTAATGTAAAGCAACTGAGAGCAATTTTCCTCAAATTTACTACATAACTCACGAGCTCGCATTTACAGCTTTAACTCATAAACATATTAAAGGTCTCGTTCTTAGATTATGAGATTTTTCTGACTTAAAGGCTCCAGCAGGGTTGGCTATTTCATCTATTAATGAGAAATAATCGGTCGCAGCATGACATCTCAAATCTTAAAAATGTCGCCCGTTCGCTTCTCTCACTCGCAAACGAATAAACTATCACACATAACAGTAACGAATAGTGCTAAAGCAGTATTTTGGACCACGTAACGAGAAAACTCTCGAAGTTCATTTCTGATAATGTATTAATTACATTGTAGGGGATAAGTCTAAAATTCATAACTTTTACGCTTGAAATTTCTCCTTTGAAGGTGCCCCCCTCTTTCCCAGAAACTTTGTGTGCCCGTTATTTGTCGGTACCCTCCACCCCCCCCCCCACACCACCAATTTGAAAGACGATCCGCTGGACAGAGAAATGATAAGTTCAAGTTCAGTATTTATTTATTTAATTCCGTAGTAAAAAAAACAGTAACATCAAAATATTATATTTACATAATTATTATTAACATAGTACAATATTGACAGTAAAAACAAACAAATAGGAATAAGGTTGCTGTATAAAAATGAAAAATAATTTAATGAAACGTCAAAGTTTCCGCGCTTCGCGCGGAACGGGGGAAATTGAGTTCAAATTAAGGATTAAGAGTCGAGAACGGAACAAAGAATCGTCTTCTTTCTCTAATAATTTAATAAAACGTCAAAGCTTTCACGCTTCGAAAGAGGGGGACTGAATACAGATAAGGGTCGGGAAAGGTACAACAAATCGTCTTCTTTGTCTAATAATACGTCAAAGCTTCAGCGCTTCGCGCAAGAGGAGGGGGGAGGAGGGGGACTGAATTTAGACAAGGATTAAGAATCGAGAACGGTACATCGAATCGTCTTCTTTCTCTAATAAATTAATGAAACGTCAAAACCTCCGCGCTTCCCGCGTGAGGGAAACTGAAAACATATAAGGATTAAGGTCGAGAAAGGTACAACGAATCGTCTTCTTTCAAAGCTTCCGCGCTTCGCTACGCTACGCGCGCTCTTTAAGTGATTCGCACGCTTCGCGTGCTTACTACCGCCCCCCCCCCCTAAAATGAAATTCCGGCTACGCGCTTGGTTTAGTATGTGCTAAGTATGTAGATGATGAAGCTATTCTTACAAATCTCTTTTGCAATATAAAAAGTGCTTCCAATTTGGAAGCATATGCCCATACGACATTACAGTATGATAAGTAGGGCAGGACATTAGTATTATACAATGTGATTAGAATGCATTTTGGTAGGGTATGGCATAATTTGCTGATGACGGTTTTTAATTGGTAAATAACTACCAAAAAGACTATCCAATCCAATCCAATCCAGGTATTTATAAAGCTCCAATATCTAGTTGCCTAATCAAAGGCGCTGATGAGACTGAAAAACTACAAAAAAAATGTCTGTTCATGATTCTAACTGTAATTAACTGCTTTACATTTTCTATCACATTTTTGTTGAGTTCTAATTCATTGATTTATTTGTTTTGTAAAGCGCTTTGATCAGTTGTAAATTGGATATAGCGCTATAAAAGAAACAATTTATTATTATTATTATTATTATTATCAAAGACAACAAAAAACAATGACTAATTGTAAGCACTCTTTATCTTGTAAAACGACTTCTTTTTCTCTCTTTGTTCTTATACTACTAGGCATCTAGCAATATTCATCATTACAATGAAATTTGCATTATTTCACTTTTATAGAGCTATTTGTGTATTTTCACCTTTTACATGTTATTTTCTTTGGACAACATATTTTTCATTATCTAGAAATTACACATTTTTCTTTCGTTTTTTCTTGTTGTTGCATTGGTCAACATAAACATGAGTCAAGATATCAAGTATTAGAAAAACGTAAGTTTCGAAGCGTCTTGGCCTAATAACATTTTGTGTCTTGGTTTTAATCTTTATTGTATAAAATAGTTTCAATAATATAAGCTCAATGTAGGAAAAGGGAATGCAGGAATCGCGCCACGCATTTTTTCTAATCTCTTTTCACAGTCCACAGCTCTAAGACCAACATCATGAATGGCGCCATCTTACACGAAGCGTTGATCAGACATGATTGTGCTTTATCCTGAAATCTGCTTGGTATAGTAACTACTCATCAAAAAGGAAGAAAACCACACTCGACAAAAGTTGCAAATGAGTTGCATAGCGTTTCAGATGAGGAGCGTGCATGGCATAATTATATTAGTACTAGGTTCCAACAGTTGTAGCTCGACTTGTAAATCGCATGCAATCAAATCAAATGAAAAAACTATATCAATTATTAGGATCTCGCGAAAGAAGAATAGAGATACAACCTAAATGTGACATATTTATAAATATATTTGTTTCCTTTTATTTCTTTGATTACTATGGGAACTAAACATAAATAAACCATACGTGGAAGGATTGTAAAGGAGATGTATTTCGGTAACGGATTTGCATTAGAGAAAATATTGCCAAATTTCAGCCTCCCCAGGTTTTTTCAACAATTCTTCTGCATCCCTAAATTGAAGGCAAAAACTTTTATAAATATTTGATTATTTGTTAAAGGGTTTGGATTTTTTCCCATGTGGAATTCCTACGTAAAAAGTGAAAGAATTTAGCGAACATTTCGAATTTTTCTTTTTATTGTAGTCTTTATTTTTTATTTTTTTTTGTGTGTGGGAGGGAGTGGGAAATATTCAGTAGATGCTAAACAATACAAAGCATGTCCCAACCTTTTATCAGAGCTTGAATGCTAACATACACGTGGGAAGCTGAGAATACGAACGGAGTATGTTGAATAAAAACCATGACCACATGTGATTGTGAGTGTACGACATTAATCTACAACGCACAAAAGTACAAATATTTATTTTGTGCTCTTTTCATGAAACAAAAGGAGTGTTCCTGTAAGTTTTTTGTTCTGCTTGCCCTATCGCGGACATACCCAATCATGGCACAATGTACTTAACGTAATATTGGTGTGGTATAATTAAATGTATTTTCTCTAGCTCTTTTATATGGATGATATTACAACTACATCCAGACTACTAATTTTCTAGAACAACTGCCACTGGGACCGATATCGCGCGTAAAGTGTCCCTGTGAGAAAATAATCCCAAACGATTGAACTTGTAAAGGTATTAGGCTTGCGGAGAGACGACTGGGGTTTAGAGTGGTTTGTTAGATGATAGTTGTTCTAGGGGTCCATCCGGGTGAGTAGTCCAGGAGATAGCTGTCCTAGAATTCTGGACGTTGACAGCCGAGGTAATATCAAATTGAATATCTGATTATCGTTGACTCCCTAATTACTTTTGTCAATGAAAATCATGCAGATATGCGTTAATCCTTGGACAAAAAAACGTATC